TAACATTATCATGCCCATCCCGCCTTGCCAATTTCAAGCCTCTCAAGGCTGCCTCGGCTTCAACATGCCATAGAGGTTATGTTTATAAAGGAGGAGCCACCCTTAATTGAAATGCAATCATCACCTGTAGATAGTGATTAATTATAGTAATTAAGCAATTAACAACTAAAATAGCAAAGATATATATATTTTTTTGTTTTGAGAAATTCTAGAATTGCATTCATAATTCAGCCAAAAAAGTCACTAGTCACAAAGTTCTAACATATCGAACCCGGAAATCACACAATATGTAAAATCCGTTCGGGGTTCAAACGTTATCCGAATTGAGATTCGTACAATTCTACGCGCTCGTAACAACCCGGGGATCATTTTAGGATAAAAATGTCTCCCTGCTACAGTGCCCACGCACCGCCACACGCGCCGGCAGCCTATTTTCCCAATTCACAAAATTATTACATGATGAGCTCAAAAGGCAATTTAAACAAATAATCTTATTATAGAAGAAATTATTCCAGAAAGAAACACATCTCCTTTGGATAGGCAATCAACATGAGGGGATGTAGAGATTGATGTTCCATTGGCATTCTTGCATAAAGATCTGAGTGGCTTTCCAGGCACCATGGGAATGTTGGTGCAGCCCAAGCTACAACAATTCAGTGTTATTGCTTGCTGGCTAGTCGAAGTTCCTTCAAAGCCACTAAATGTTATATCGCTCACTTTCACTCCTCTGTTATCGTCTACATAGTTTTGGTCAGTGATGATCGGATGTTTGGTCTCTGTGACTGTGATTTGCTCAAAAGTGATTGCCCTAGCATACCCCCGATCCGCCCTTGAGAATAAACGAAGAGAACGATTGAGAATTTATTTATTTTTTTCAAATTTAAAAAATATATATTTCAAAATTTTAGTTACCTGCCGTGTTTTGATTCTTGCACCATTCTGAGCTTTGTTAAAGTTGCAATTCTGAACGTGGACGTTTTCAACTTATCCTCAGCTCCTTGTTGTCCTAAACTTCCCACAATTTGGGCAGACACACATGTACACAGAGTTAAGTACTCAAATAATTAAGATATATATATATATATATATATATTTTGTATTTACATTATAATTGAACATGATTTGTTATATTAATAATAATAGTAGATTATAGGTTGCCATTTAAAAAATATATATATATATGTTTAACAATGATTTGACATGTTATTATAATTTTTTTTTTTTTTGGACCAAGGTAAAGGAACTATGATTCTTGTTTTGATCACAAAAACAGGCTTTGACATACCTAATACCATGACCTGGTCCACATGCCATAGAGGTTTTTTTTTTTGGACGAAATGCATCTTCATTCAAGAACAGGGGGAAAATACCCTGGGCAAACAACAGACAAGAAAGATACCACCTAACCACACGCCAGCTAGGTGGGGAAATTATCTAAACTTGACAGCATAACAAAGAAACTCAAAAACCTGGAGGTCCAGGAAGACCATCTGATACCAAAATGCTGACCAGAGACGGTGGTGGTCTATCGACCCAGCTAACTTGCGCCACCGCTCCACTTCCAATCCTTGCTGCCTCATGAGCAGCTCTATTGGCTGTATGAGGGATCCAATTCCACTCCAAAGAACCAAAATTTGCTGCCAGTTGCCTAATCTCCAAAATCAAGGGAAGGATAGTCCAACCTCGGTTACGGGTATCGCCATCAATGCATTGCTTCAAAACTTTTGAGTCAGTCTCGACAATAACATTATCATGCCCATCCCGCCTTGCCAATTTCAAGCCTCTCAAGGCTGCCTCGGCTTCAACATGCCATAGAGGTTATGTTTATAAAGGAGGAGCCACCCTTAATTGAAATGCAATCATCACCTGTAGATAGTGATTAATTATAGTAATTAAGCAATTAACAACTAAAATAGCAAAGATATATTTTTTTTTTGTTTTGAGAAATTCTAGAATTGCATTCATAATTCAGCCAAAAAAGTCACTAGTCACAAAGGGCTAATACAAACTAGCCACAAAAGGTCAATACAAACTAACCATAAATAGCCATTATAATAACGGTGCAGTCTATCTTCAAAATTAAGACAATCTAGTGTGTCTCCACTGAATCACGCATGATCGAAGAAACTCTGACATATGCATCCCAACTAAGATTGCAAACTCAGAATAATAAAAAAAAGATAAAGCTTGAAAAAACAAAGTCATAACAATACAAATTAAACTCTCACAAAGAAGAGATGAAAAACTCTCATGTAACAATACATATATGTTCTTAATATATTTAATTTAATAAGAAGGGAGGGGAGAAATTAAATTACCCGTTTCAATTACTGAGTCAAGTATTTTCACATGACTTGTTGCAGAGATCCCGATGCCATCAGTGTTGGGGATGTCTTTAGGTGCTCTAAGATGAATATTTGAGATATATACATTATCACAACCACGCATTCTGATATAGTTTCTTGGGCTATCAACAGAAGTAAATCCACTGGGTCGAAGGTTGTCACACTTGTCAAAGCGTAGAGCCTGCAACAACATTTTTCTCAATTTTTTCTTTTTGACACAAGGGAAATTGGAGAAGGGGAATTCGAACACACATGACCTCGAATGCATAGATAATTACTCTTAATCACTTGAGCTACAAGCGGGCTGAGCTGCTGAGATGTCGCCAGTCCTTTCTGGGCTGGTCCGGCGTCCTACGGCGGTCGGATGGTGGTGAGTTATGGTGGAGTGAGGTGTGGCTGGAGGAAGAAGAAAACAGGGGAGGGGGAAGTCACGCGGGAGAGAGAGAGAAAAGAGAGAAAGAAAAATCTGATTTTATTAAAATTCGTTTTCCACTTAATTACAATTTTGCCACTATGGGTTTTTACCTCGTAATTTCTTCGTTACAAGTCCGAATCGAGCTTACCGCGTGTCTACGGACTCGGCTCGGTACAACCTTCCTAAAAATACCACCCGTTGTTCCAAACTCTCTCTGGATAAAAATTTACCTTTTTGCCCCCACTTCAAGGGCAAAATTGGAAATTTCATTTTCAAATTAAATTAATTAGTGAATAGTCTTAAATTTTGGGTCGGGCTGTTACACATTCTGATATAGTTTCTTGGGCTATCAACAGCCTCGAATGCATAGATAATTACTCTTAATCACTTGAGCTATAAGCCCCTTATAACTCAAAACTTAATTACTCTTAAAAGTGTTAAATTTTAAATTGTAATTTTCCAACATATATACCCTTCAATGATGATTTTTCATAGAAAATCAGCCAAGTCGAAAATTGTTTGGTCATTTAAATTGTATAAACAAAACACAGTCTATCCAGTGGAAATGTATATTGAGGGATCATCAGATAAAATTACCGTAGGTGCGCTGCAATTCATGCCAAGAGTCACTTGAACATACAAACAAAACATTTAGAAATTTCGGGCGTTATTATCGTGCGGACACCATATTGTAAATACGAAGGAAAGCATGGAGGTATAGTAGAAAATACATGATGTCCACACAGTACTACTAACATCCGGATGTCCGCATAGGAGAAAATCTATATATATATGCACTAAGATTATATATATTTATAATGAAAAAGGAAATATGACCTCTGTGTTGTGAATTGGTTGAGCTGCTTTATGCCTCCTTCACCGAAGATAACCATGGGCATTGAACTGTCCTGTTCCCACAACCGCGAGATTCCTCACATTTGAGAAGCATAGCCAGCATCCGTATTTGCACCATTCCATTCACTAAGATTAGAGGGTGCCACAATATCCCCTAAAACCTAAACCCCACGAAATTAATTAAACATCAAGGTAGTCACAAAGGGCTAATACAAACTAGCCACAAAAGGTCAATACAAACTAACCATAAATAGCCATTATAATAACGGTGCAGTCTATCTTCAAAATTAAGACAATCTAGTGTGTCTCCACTGAATCACGCATGATCGAAGAAACTCTGACATATGCATCCCAACTAAGATTGCAAACTCAGAATAATAAAAAAAAGATAAAGCTTGAAAAAACAAAGTCATAACAATACAAATTAAACTCTCACAAAGAAGAGATGAAAAACTCTCATGTAACAATACATATATGTTCTTAATATATTTAATTTAATAAGAAGGGAGGGGAGAAATTAAATTACCCGTTTCAATTACTGAGTCAAGTATTTTCACATGACTTGTTGCAGAGATCCCGATGCCATCAGTGTTGGGGATGTCTTTAGGTGCTCTAAGATGAATATTTGAGATATATACATTATCACAACCACGCATTCTGATATAGTTTCTTGGGCTATCAACAGAAGTAAATCCACTGGGTCGAAGGTTGTCACACTTGTCAAAGCGTAGAGCCTGCAACAACATTTTTCTCAATTTTTTCTTTTTGACACAAGGGAAATTGGAGAAGGGGAATTCGAACACACATGACCTCGAATGCATAGATAATTACTCTTAATCACTTGAGCTATAAGCCCCTTATAACTCAAAACTTAATTACTCTTAAAAGTGTTAAATTTTAAATTGTAATTTTCCAACATATATACCCTTCAATGATGATTTTTCATAGAAAATCAGCCAAGTCGAAAATTGTTTGGTCATTTAAATTGTATAAACAAAACACAGTCTATCCAGTGGAAATGTATATTGAGGGATCATCAGATAAAATTACCGTAGGTGCGCTGCAATTCATGCCAAGAGTCACTTGAACATACAAACAAAACATTTAGAAATTTCGGGCGTTATTATCGTGCGGACACCATATTGTAAATACGAAGGAAAGCATGGAGGTATAGTAGAAAATACATGATGTCCACACAGTACTACTAACATCCGGATGTCCGCATAGGAGAAAATCTATATATATATGCACTAAGATTATATATATTTATAATGAAAAAGCAAATATGACCTCTGTGTTGTGAATTGGTTGAGCTGCTTTATGCCTCCTCCACCGAAGATAACCATGGGCATTGAACTGTCCTGTTCCCACAACCGCGAGATTCCTCACATTTGAGAAGCATAGCCAGCATCCGTATTTGCACCATTCCATTCACTAAGATTAGAGGGTGCCACAATATCCCCTAAAACCTAAACCCCACGAAATTAATTAAACATCAAGGGCAATCATTTTGGTGAACCCTTAATTAGCTAGAGAGACCACGATTAAATATTTAATTACCTCAATTTTAACCCTTCCTGCCCTGCAAGGACCCTTAAATTTCAGAGGTTTCAGGTTGTATGTCCTCCCATGTGGGATTTTTAGGACTTGTTTGGCACCCTCAGTTCCACAAACTCTTTGCCATGCCTTCAAGAAAGCCTAATTTATAAACATAATGGTAGTCAAGTTTGATACAAGTGATATTAAGGGATGAAGTTTTCTCACACACACACTATCAAGGTGCCATGAGAGTTCGAACCAAAGGCTAGTGGTATGCAAGTCAAAGCCCTTTTTACATGGATTTTGAATCTTGTCATAATCCAGTTTTATAAATTCGCTGTTGGATTCTTACATCCATCAATTACTGTAAGCATGGCTAATTACAGAATTAACCCATAGAAATCGAAAGGGTCGGCCTTGACTTTTGAGTGGTATGTGGCCAGAAATTAAAATGAGACTCGTGTATTTTTGTTCAAGAAAAACTTATAATATGGGCCTGAAAAAACTACAATCGAGATATATTCAAAATTACACAAAAATATCCATGGATGAATCACTTTGAAGGCAAGGAACATCAGGTGCGGTAAAGGTTGATTTTCCATTGGCATTGTTGCATAAAGCTCGGAGTGGCTTGTGCAAACCAGAGGTTAACTCCACATGGTCCATTACGATATTGGTGCAACCCAAGCTATTAGAGCAATCCAATTTTATCGCTGCTTCTGTTGCTGAAGTTCCTTCAAATCCACTATATGTTACATATCACTCACCTCCACTCCTACTGGCTGCAATATTATGAGTTTCCCAATTAATTAAAGAAATTAAATATATAAATTTTGATTAATTAGCTGCTACTCAGTTGCTTAATTACCAAAGATTGGCATTGAACTGCACCGCCACAGTAATGTTGGTCGATAATGATGGGATTTTTGGTCCCAACAAGTGTGATTTTGTGCTCCCTTGATAACAGTATAAAGAAAAAGTTATTTATTTATTTATTTGATCAAACACAGAAAAAACTTAAGCAATACATCAAAGACGTGTGTAATACACGAAACACAACTGCAAAAGAGGGTTTACCTGCCACGTCTTGATTCTTGCACCATTTTGAGTATTCTTGCACCATAATAATGTAAATATTTAATAAGAAATAACAGTTTATGTAAATGTAAATGGGTGAGTTATTATTTTAGGTACTTGGTTCCACCAAATTGCACCATTGCCATCTATTTTTCCAGTTCCTTGGATGATGAGACCCTCCACGTTTGAGAAGCATAACCAGCATCCAGATTTGCACCCTGACCCTATCCATTCATCAACACTGGAAGGGGCCACAATACTCCCATCGATCTGATAAATTACAAGGCTAATTACTAATTAAATTAATTAAGTTAGGCATTCAATTTTTAAGTAACAGAGAAAATGTGCCTTCATATAATAAATATTGACAATTAAATTAAAAGCATATATGCAATGATAAAACCTGAATCTGAACATGGCTGGACTGGCAAGGACCCTCGAATTTGAGAGGTTTAAGTAAGTAGGTTTTCTCCGGTGGGATGCTTAGGGTTTGTGTGTCCCCGGGAGTTCCACATGTTGTTTGCCATGCCTTCAAGAAAGCCTAATTTTGTATGCACCATATCAATGAACACATCATAAATAATCAGTTCAATATGACGCTTTGTTGAAACAAGTACATATAATTTAACAAGAGTTCAATCAGAATTATTTACTTGGGAATCATCCTCAACGCCATCTCCTAAAGCACCAAAATCAAGTACATTGAAAGTGCCATTTTGGCCATATCCAATGCCAAAACTAGATGAAGCAACAATAACTAAAAAGAGGAAGCTAATTAGTGAAGGAAGGTCCTGCACAAAATTAATAAAAAGATAAACTGATTTTAATTAGTACTATAAAATATGGTAGGTAGGACTGTACTGGATTGTTTCAATTAAATTGGACAAGTGTCTTGACCGTTGTTTGGTATGTTGAAGCTAACTTTATGAAATTGCGCAATAGTTGTTCTTCGGTTCATTTTTACACATGATTTTTCATGTTATTCACCTATTATTTTGAGTTAGTTCTTGACATTTTATAGCTTTTTACCTACTTTTTGTGTTTTCTTAGATTTTACCTTGGTTAGAATGAAAATGAGCTAAAAATGCATTATTGGTTATAAATTCTGTTTTTGTTCATTTTCGTAGGTCAACTTCTTGGCCTGGGATCAACATGCTCTGGTGCTCGGATGAGGTGAAGATCTTCATGAAACTTGTTCCAATGGATGTTGACTACAACATATCCAAATTTGAGCTCCATTGGACAAGTATTGCCTATCCAACCAATCCAGCATGTTACCATAGCTCTGGAAATCCGAAATTGGCCAGCTTTTACCTCCATTGTGTCATCTTGATTCTTCTTGTTACCATAACACTTGGCTTGGTAAC